AAAAAAAAAAACGAAACAGATCTTCAAGGTTCCTCCTTTTTCTCCTCGCTGCAACTTATTTATCTATAATTTTGCTAATCTTGGCAAGTGAGAGCTCATGGAGAAAATGGGGTCCTACAGAAATGCTTGCTTTTTGCTGTGGCTGTTATGAATCCCTGCGGACTGAATAATTGAGGGTTCCTGTTATTTTTTTTTTTTCCTTTTCTTTTTCGGGTTTGTTTTTTCAAGAATTTAGCGGCGGTCGGAGGTTGTCATAAAGTCATATTCGGGCATCTCTATTTCTCTCTCCGCCCGCCATGAATTAGATAGGGAGAGAAAAAAATGGTAGTGCGCTATATAGCTTCTTCAAGCCAAGTTATTGCTGTGAGAGTCGTGCTTTTTTGGCTCTTGGGGGCCTCCTTTCCCTTTTCTTTTTTAACAATAATATCTTATTGCGAAATACTACTATTGTTCCGTCGAGATTTGTAATTGTTGATTCATCATGTAATATTAGGCATCGTTGATCTAATGATTATAAATTTCGACAGAATGATTTCGTAAAAGGAACGTAGCATCTTCCTATCTTATTAAGATCGTAATATAAATATTAAGGAGATATTACTGTCCCGTTATGAAACTATCTGTCAAGATTTGTACCCGTTAGATCAACTATAGTATGTAAAAATTATCCTAATTCATCTTTATATTTCCTTCATTAAAAAATGTAAAACTGATACTTGTATGTCTTGTATTTTAACCATAGTATATGTCATTTTATATAAAAACTTCCATTTAAAAAAAATGTTGCTTTAGACCTTTTCAACCCAAATAATTATGTTTCAAATTATCTTTCATTTATTGATTTTAATTTTTTTTAAGACACCTACTCTTTAATTATAAAAATTGAACTAAAATTATTGATAGTATGTAAAATTTATTCATAGTCACATATGTTACCATATTATATATCGGGCCCCTTCAACCATATTTCTATGTCCGTCGATGTTTATATTTACAACTTAAAATTTATAATGCACATTTTATTAAATATACCATCTATATCTATATCTATATTTATATAATGGACGAATCCATTTTGCTAAAAATGGACGAAGTTTTCCCGCTTAAAATTTTTCCGATAAAGTTGGAAATATTGTTTGTACAGTAATGCTATGGGGACAATGGTTCAACCATATTTCTATGTCAGTCGCTGTTTATATTTACAACTTAAAATTTATAATGCACATTTTATTAAATATACCATCTATTGATAGCATTATTGATTGTTTGTATACCAATTCTGTGGATAATTTTGTTAGCAAATATTTTGAAAATATTGTTTCTATAACAGTCCCGTGGATAATTTTGTTAGCAAATATTTATTGATCCCGTTGATCTTGCTTTTTTTTTTTTTC